GGTGTGGCTGATGCTGTGCCCAGGGAGGGGCCAGCCTTCCACTGTCCAGTGCTAGTGCCCCTACCTGTGTCTTCTGGAACCCTCCAGAACCCCAGATAGGGCGTGAGTGTGGGAGGTGTGGGAGGTAGGCCTAGCTGGGGAGGGAACTTGAGGGGAGCTGGGCCTGGCCGGGACCCTGGGGACGAGTGTGGCTGCTGTCTGCAGGGGCGCCGTGTCGGGAGCCTGCATGAACCCTGCCCGGGCCTTTGGACCAGCTGTGGTGGCCAACCACTGGGCCTTCCACTGGATCTACTGGCTGGGCCCGCTGCTGGGTAGCCTGCTGGTCGGAGCGCTCGTCAGGTAGGTGGGTCATTGCCCCGCCGGTGGGCAGCGGGTGACAGCTCCCGCAGCGTCCAGGCCGAGAGCCATGGGACCTCACCTGAGTCTGCAGAGGAGCAGAGGGAGCCTTCTGCAGAGGCAATGTTATGGCTCTGGGCCTTTGACCGCAAGTGACAGAAATCCCTCGCAGCACAGCTGTGGCCCGAAGGAGAACCCGCTGGCTCACAGAGCTGAGAGTGCACAGGGAGCACTGGCCAGGTAGGTGCCCAAACGTCTCAGGACACGTGTCCCACAGGCGGTCCTCTGCGCAGGCTTCACGCCTACGGGGGCGCCCAGCAGAGGCGGAGGCGCTCGGCAGGTCAGAGGAAACAGCACGACAGCGTGGCTGATGGTTGCCAGTGTGGCTGCCCAGCATGGGTCGGCCTTCCCCTCAGTCAGTCATGTGGCTCTGGGCCAGGCACACCTCCCGGCTGTGTGCAGCCTGAGCCTAATCCTGGCCTTGGGGTGAGGTCCAAGAGCCGGGGAGGAGTTGCTCCCTGCAAGGGGCCATCCAACGCCTGGGGGCCCTACCACATAGAAAACCACACACACGGTGTCCCACGAGCACGCACGTCAGGGATGCCGTTCCCATAAAACAGTGTGGCAGTGCTCCATGGAGCTGGGCAGTGGACAATAAGGTGGATGTTGTCAGAGGGGTAATCTCTCCCTTGTTGGGAGCTTCCAGGATCCATAGGGGCCTGTTCTTCTGCTCCAGGTTGTGCAGGGATAGGGTTTGGCTCAGCAAGTGGGCCTAGCCCGACCCCTTAGCCCTGGCTGAGTGCAAAGCATCCCTAATTATCACCTGCTGCTTTCAGAGGGTGGAGCTGAGTGTCTCTAGGAAAAGGGCTGGAGCCAAGCAGGGACACGCCCCCGCCTGCCCACCCCCTCTCCCCCAACCTGCCCCCGCTAGAGGTGGAGACTGGAAAAGCTCAGGAAGGCGGCTCTCTGGAGAACTCAGCCTGGAGAGGTGGATGAGGGGCTGGGCGACCCTCCCCTGGGCGTGCAGAGACCTCACTGGGCCATTGTTGTTGTAGGTTCTTCATTGGAGATGGGAAAACTCGGCTCATCCTAAAGGGACGCTGAAGCCGGTGCTGGGCGTCCCGCGGCCCTGGTGCCCTTGGTCCCCGGCCAGTTCTGCATCGCCCGCTACTGCACAGGCCCAGGGAGCCCGGCTCCTTCCCTGGCGGGGCCTGGCTTCCCGCTGGCTGGCCTGCTGCTAGGCCCTGAGGTGCTCTAGGCTCTGAGGAGTGCCTGGTGCCTGGCAGAGCCCTCAGCCTGGGCAACGTGGCCAGCACTGCCCAGAGGGAGGTGGAAACAGCATGTCAGAAATGTCCTCCTGAGGGGAACGGTCCCAGGAGCAGAAGAGCACTGGGCGAGGCAGCTGTCCATGTACATCAGTTCCCTTCGCCCATCTTCCTCCCTCTCCCTTCCCTGGCTCCTCTGTTGCAGAAGGGCCTTCTGTGGTCTCTTTCCTTGCTTCCTGAGCTGCCAATCTAGCTTTGCAATAAATAGTCCCATATTTCCTTCCACATGCCATTGGCTTGCCTTTCATTTTAGAAATGAGCACTGCTGGGGAAGACGCACAGTCCAGCTTGGGCCTTGTTTGTCCAGAGTCTCGTGAAGGCTCAAGTGGAGCTTAGAATCCAGCGCAACCATAGGTCCTTAGGGTGCAGGCCAACCCAGAGTCTATCTCCCACTTAGCTCTGTCCAATCTAGAATCCGGTTTGGATGCTAGTGAGAATCAATTTCAGATCACAGACCTCAGGACCTGCTGAAAGCGCCCAGGACTGCCCAGGACATGGACTGGCCCACTCACTGTGCTCCAGCTGGGCATGTGTGGGTGTGGGCTGGGCCAGACCTGTGAGGATTTCCTAACAAATAGAGAGTGTGGCATAATACAGGTTTGGAGGGACAGTGGCCTTTGAATGGAAGATGGAGTATAATGATAAGAAAGGATAAAAAAGGATAAAAAGACACATTCTGAACTTCACCCCTTGTAGGTAGAGGATATAAGAATCTATGGGTCATTTATGGTAGATGACCATTATCCTATATAATAAAAGGCTAATATGCAAATTGACCGAATGGTGGAACAACCACTTGCTATGATGCACACTCAACACAGGAGCTGCCCCCTGGTGGTCAGTGTGCCAGAACCAGGCTCATGGCTGGTGAGCACAGGGTGGTGGCAGGAGCCTCTCCCGCCTCCGCAGCAATTGGACATCCCCCGAGGGCTTCCAGACTGCAAGAGAGCACAGGTCGGGATGATAGACCCCTCTCCCCTGAGTGCACAAATTTTGTGCACCAGGCCTCTAGTAGCAACATAAAAAAGTTCCAGGGATCAATAATTCTCAACAACAAACAAGAAGCTCACCAGTTCTACAAAATGATCAAAATACTCACCTGAGTAAAAAGAAAATGTTCACGGAGTGAAAGCACCAATATAATAAGAGACTGTCTGTTGAGAAAATGGACTCTATATCCCCAAACATCCACAACATTTTTGGAGAAAAAGAGAAAGACAAATATGAATAACAACCACAAGCCTAAAGAAAAAGAGAAAGAAAATAATATGATAGAAGCAGAAACAAGCAAATTAGAACACTCGCAAAGAGCAAACAATATTGAAAGTTACCATTTCTTTTGGTGAAATGAATAATAAAATAAACCTTTGGTAAATCTTGTAAGTAACAAAGTAGTTACATATGCATACATATACATATACATATACATATACATATATAAACACACATACAACATGCACACATGTGTACAGCTAACATTTATTGTGTTTATGTGCCCAGACTGTGCAGAATGCTTTCCGTGCATGACCTTATTTACTCCCTCAGCAGTCCTATAAGGTAGGGTACTGGGTTGAATAGTGTCCCCCAAATTCATGAACATTTGGAACCTAAGAATGTGACCTTGTTTGGAAATAAGATCTTTGTGGCCATACTTAAGGGTCAATGAAGGTGAGATCATACTGGATTAGGTGAGCCCTAGGTCCAGTGCCTGTCCTTATAAGAAAAGGACACAGAGACACAGGGAGGAGGCATGTGGGAGAAGGGTGGAGGCCACGTGGTTTTACCAGGAGTCACCAAGAGCTACAAGAGGCAAGGAAGGACTCTCCCTGAGCTTTTGGAGGGAGCCAGGCCTGATGACACCTTGATTTTAGACTTCTGGCCTCCAGACTGTGAGAGAAAACATTTGTGTTTTGTTTGTTTGTTTTTTTAAACAAGTGTGTGGGAATTTGTTATGGCAGCCCCAGGAAACGAATACAGGTAGTTTCTCTTACTCTTCTCCAGAGGAGAATGGAGATTCCAAGGGATGACATTATCCAAAGTTGCACAAGTTGATGGAGCCAAAGTTTAAGACCAGGTGTTGTTTGACTGTAGGGTCCAGGATCTTTGTCATCACACTTGACTGTTTCTGAAAAAGGGACAATATGGTTCCTGCCTTGTCTTCTACTTGCCTGATTGGCCCCATCAAGAGAGGGACAGAAAGACATGCATCATAACTCCTCTCACTCCTAACTTGCAATTGGATTTGAAGTCCTGGTCTTCACCTTGAGTTCTAGGACCATGAGCTCTCAAGAGGAAGATCAATGCCAGTTCATCTTCAGGACTCCGCATTTGGCTTAGTGCTTGCTGTGTAGAAGGGGCTAAGTACTCATTGACTGAAAGAATGCGCAGGAACTCCCAAATTCATTCTGAGCACAACCCAAACTTCACCCATATCTCCTAAGTTCACCTCCATTCCACCTCAAGAACAAGGTCACAGAATTTTATTTTATTTATTTATTTCTTTGTAAGAGACAATTTATTGGGTGAATTACAGAGGTAGAAAAAGGAATTCCTAGAAGAAATGGGCTTAGCAAGCAAAGGAAGGGCCCTTGGAGCTTGGGAGTGAGGAAGCTAATGGTAAGATGCCTGGGGCTGGGAGGAGGGAGGGGGGAGCGGAAGAGAAAGGGTAAGCACAGCCCTGCTAAGGGGAGGGAGAGCACACTCAAGGTCACAAATTTTTAAATGCTAGAGCTAGACACTCAATGGTAGCAGTAAAACGTAGATGGTATGAGTTTGGATTCTGAGAAAGATATGAATTTAAAGCTTAGAACATCCACTTTTTTGCTGTATAAGCTTGAAGAAGCTATTTAATTTTCCTCAGCCTGTTTCCTTGTCTGTAAAATGGAAATGTTGCCCCAGAATGCTTGTGAGAACTAAATATGATGCTTTTGTGAAGTGTGAGCACAATGCCTAGTACATTGTGAGTGGACAATGTGTCAGCTCTTTCATTTATTACTAGAGGCCTGGTGCACAGTTTCGTGAACTGGTGGGATCCCTCGGCTTGACCTGTGGGAATTGTGGTTGAAACCAGCTCTCCAACATCCCCCGAGAGATCCCAGATTGCAAGAGGGCCGTTCTCTGGTGACACGCCCCAGAATCAGGCTCCCTCTTCTCTGGTTCCAGGTGCATCACCTGAGAACCACAGCTACCAAGTCACTGCAGCTTGGCAGCACCTGCATTGAGCGTCTGCCCCCTGGTGGTCATTGTGTGTCAGAGCTACCGGTTGGATGGTTGCATGGTCAATTAGGCTTTTATATAGATCATCATCTAATCAAAGGTTTTGCAACTTACAGGTATCAGAATCATAGCAAGAGGGTGGAGTTTCTAAATGGACTTGGTACAAATGCATTTGCTCAGTCAACTACCCTCATCATGCTCTTTGGGCCTCTTGATGGGGAAAGGCTGGGAAGCACTCATATTGTCCAACCCCAAACCAAGAGAGGCTGGATAATTTGACTATAACCACAGTGACCTAGTGATAGAGCTCGACCAGGATTTTAGACACAGTCTAGTGTTCTTCCTACTGCAATAGGCATGTCCTATTCTAGAACTTTGGAGTAGAAGTCCTGTTTCCTTCCTTTTTGCCAGAATTAGCTTGAGCCCTCACATGCCATGCTGTTGGGAAGCCTAGTATACGACTGTTGCACCTCTCCCTCACCAGATCTCCTGAAACTCTGGGAGCTTAAGCAATCCAGAAAGGGAAGTATACCAGTCTACTCATGGAACTTTTTTCTTTGTGCCTGATTGCTGCCCCCATTGGGAGTGGTCCTCAGCTGTGCATGCTAGCGCCAAGCCACACTTGACCAGGATAGGGGGACCCTTTACTGACAATTCCACAGCTTCCATGCCAAGCACACCTGCATGTTCCACAGGCTCTGTGTTGCATCCAAGCAACCTCAAGGCCGAGGCCTTTCAGGTCCTGAGCCCATTCCCTGTTCCCACACTGCCACCTTCCTTCAGAGTCCACCACCTCAGGAGGAGTTTAGACATTTGCCTCTCTTGGAACCAAAGCCCTGTTTCCCCTTCGAGTCCCTGGGCCCAACACGGAGTTTGGAAGTTGTGACTAGCCATGTTCCTATTAGTGCTTGAAAACAAAGTTTTTGTTCTCCTCCCTTAAGGTCTAATTGTTTTAACTGATTGTAGGAATTGAAGATTTATGGCTCTTAGAGATTTAAAGTCTCTCATGTAATTCCTAGCCTGAGTCAGAGCACAGACCTAACTATCTAATGGAATGTGAGGTCAGTAACCTTGTGGGAGAACTCAGATAGGTCACCATTTGTGAGCCTTTATCTTAGCTTCCTCCAAAAAGGTTGTGGCTGTCTACTCAAGGAAAACATGGGAAACTTACGGGGCTCCTAGATGCTGCTTGAGCAGCTATAATTCTTGAGGACCTTGGGCATCACTGTAGTCGGCTGCAGAGTAGGGGCCTACAACGCCCAGCTGAGAGGCACTTTGTCTGGAGTCTAGCTCATGTTTAGGCGACCCACCCTGTGGTTCTTCCTAGTTCATAAGAATAGTGGGAAATACATGCCCAGCAAGTAGCAAAATCTCGACACTGACTCTATGACCCATGGAGTTGAAATTTAGAAAGTGGAAACCACTGGAACCCTTTATACCAAAACAGTAAGTCAAATGCAATACTGTGTATCTTTGGGGAAATTGTGGAGTCTTGTTCCACCGTAAAAGGCTACTGTGGCTGAGTGCCTCCCCCAAATTCACACAGGGTGTGAACCCAAGGCTAATCCTACCCTGGAATTACAGCCAACCATTATTTGGGACAATGGCAATGGCTACTATCACAGGCCAGCTGCACAAGAATAGTTGTGGACTCACAAAAGATCTCACTAGTTGTGGGAGAGAAGAGTGAACTGGTACAAGACTGAAATTCTCTTTAGCTACTAGCATCAGCTTTTGTTACCTTAGACAAGGTCTCTTCTTAATAGAAGGCATTCATCAAATTATGGCAAAAACCAATGAGAGTCATTTATTGCAGACATTTATTTCACATATAAGTTTTCAAGAAGACATCTAAGTGAACATCAATACAAAACAATGAACAGACACTTATATTTGGAATAAATTCAGACAGGGCAAAGGCTTGTAGCTACACCAGTCACTCAGACACTACTGGCCTTGTGGCTTCCCCAGTTGAGTCTTGCCTGTCACTGGGCACCAGACCTCACAAGATAGGCTTTCCTTACTCAGCCAGCTACCTGCAATTGGCTAACAAGGTGACTCGGGGTGTCTGTGGGAGAACACACGCCATCTTTCCTTCTCTCCTGAGTAAGCTCCTGGGCTACGCACAGCATCCTTCTGCCTGAAGTGGGCAGTGGGCTCACTGGCAGGGCAGCCTGTTCTTACAGACTCTTCCTCATCTACACCGTGCTCCCCAGCCTCACAGAACCTTAGAGTCGGAGCAGTCTGGGCAATCAAGTCCAACCTCTCTTCAGATAAGCAGCTTCGGCCAGAGAGAGGCTCTGATCTGTAGAAGGACTCAGTAAGTGGCAGCAACAGGACTAAAACTTGTCTCTTTTGGTTTCTGGTCCAATGCTCACGCCACCACTGCGGGCAGCCTGGGCTGGGTAAATATATGTGTTAAGTTTTCCTCTTTAAAGAAGTAAAGTTTCCTTCCAGATGAACAAGTTAGGCTGTTTGTGTAATAAAATCAATAGTAAGAACTGGAGGTATTTGTGAGAGTAACAAAGCAAGCCTAGCCAGAGAATATAAGCCAGTTTCCAAAGTGCCTTGGGAAAGGTGTCAGAAAAGAAAATGCGTGTTTATTTATACCAGGGGTCCTCAAACTACGGCCCGCGGGCCACATGCAAATATAAATTTTGTATTTGTTCCCATTTTGTTTTTATACTTCAAAATAAGAAATGTGCAGTGTGCATAGGAATTAGTTCATAGTTTTTTTTTAAACTATAGTCTGGCCTTCCAACGGTCTGAGGGACAGTGAACTGGCCCCCTGTTTAAAAAGTTTGAGGACCCCTGATTTATACCATTTAAAAAAACATAGGATTTGAAACAATTTTCAAAGAAAGAAGACAGAATTAAATAAACATAGGTTTTAGGTAGATGGTTAAGGTAGGTTGTAAATTTTGTTGGGCTTTCTAGCAGCGAGAACAAAAGGAGAAAAACAGTAAGTTATAAAAATCACAGTGTTTTTAAAAATAACTCCCCTCCCTCCCCCCGCCGTCAGGATTAGAGCTGCAGCGCTGGTACTGAGTTCTAAAGCAAGCTTTCTCCGCAATGGTCATAAAGGCAGTGCTATGTGGTAGAAAAGACACCACTCACTTTGACTTTCACACTCCAGCTGCAAAAGGATACAATGCAAGGAGTCTTGTTGAATGGCGGGCAGGACCTTCTGTCTCCTCAGAACAGAGACAAACTTCATTAAGCTAACTTTAATACATGTCTCAGCAGCCCATTTGCAATCAGGAGTGTCTGCAGGGGAACCCAAACTCCACCTGAGCTTGATCCCAGACATCTGAGATGACAACACAATCAGTCTCTCCCACAGGAGACTGGGTGGGAACCTTTCTGCCACTAGGGAAGTCTGAGAGACAGAGAGAAAGAACACGATTTTAGGCGTTGGAAAAACACTTTTGCAAGTGAAGGTGGTTTTCTCATGATTGAGTCACTGATCTTTATAACTTGCATGTAATTGGCACTACCTTTTGCTGCAATACTTCCTCTGCCATATTTCAAAGTCCTTGAGTACAGGCACTGTGCTTCCTTTTTCATTTTTGCATCCCTCACTGTGCCTAAAACATGGCCTTAACACACAATGGCGCTTAATAAATATTTCTGAACAAATCACTGTTCCTGAATCATTTGTCAGCTGATATAATTATCAATCCTATGTACGTATTACTAAGTGGTGACTTCTATTAATGTGCAACTTCTCTAGAGTTGAAATTCCAGAAGGTCTACACAGTGTAAGCACACGCCACTGACACTAACACATCTTATTGTGCTCGCTCAGCACACTACCAACATGAAGCTGCACTTACCATTAAGTCTATGATTTAGACAACACACACCTGAGACCAATACAATAATGTATGTCAACGGTAACTGAGAAATAAAAATGATTAATAAAAGAGAAAAAAAGAAAACCTGACAACACAGAGGAAGTTAATCTATTCAGATGTGAACACGCACAACATTTCCAGTGTAAAGGAGGACATTTATCAACGTTTACCTGAGTCACCTGCCTTCCAGCAGGCCACACCCTATGCTGGCACCCTAACTGCCTACCCCTCTGGTACTCTGCTGAGCAAGTTTCAACAGATTCAAACACAGTCCAAGGAAAAACATTATCTCCAGATGTGTTCAAATAAGAAAGCATATGACAAAGGAAAGGAGAGATAAGATCAGAAGAAGCATGCACCCACAACCCTGACTCTGGTTATCCTTCTACCGAACTATGACTTCTCCCTCCCAAAGCAACCAGCCTTGGATGCCCAAATTTCATCTAACTTCCAGAAAGGAATGAGCTATTTATCCATCTGAACCCTTTCTTCACTATGTATTGGGCTAGTGCTAGGGGGTTATCAGAAAGATTTTTCAGTTAAACAGGTAAATGAAGAAAACACTAATGTGTTCTGGATTGGAAGTTTCTGCAAATATTTCTGCTTTCACTTAATGATCTATAGAATTGTATAAAATACTCAGGGCTCTCCAGTGAGGGTCATGATGCTATAAATAAGGTCTAGAAGCCTCAGAAAAAAGAATATTTAACAAACAGCCCTGGAAGTGCTGGTCTGGACAGAGGTGGCTATCTGATCTAAAGTAGGCCTAAGGAGTCCTACTGGTTTTAGAAATATTTAATGTTTCAGGTCTCTACTTCTTTCTACCCCCTTAAAGTTTTAGAAACCTATGATTGTATAATATTATACTAAAGTGTGGGGTTGGGAGACATAAATATGCCAACACACATAATATTTTAGATAAGAACCAGAGAAGTTACAGGGAAGAACTAGAATGTATCTGAAATCCTTTACTTTAATGAGACACACCCATGAACATGCAGCCTCGTCAACGTGAGGAGTGTGTGCTGGCTCAGAAGAGCGGATAAGAGCACCTGGAACATGAAGAGGTAAGTGTAGGACATGTGGGAAACAATAGGCTGGAAAGCAGCAGCCAAGGGGATTCAGTCTTCAGGGACAAAAAAGGTTGGTATACAGAGGATTATGGGTGATCATTTGCTTCTCGTCTCTACGGAGGGCAAGGCATTGCTAACATGACTTCAGGGACATCACAGAGATTCTACCCTCGCTATTCAGATCAACTTCTTGACACAAAAACGGTACACAAAAAGACTTCTGATGGAAGTTATAAAACCTTCAGTCTCCTTTGTGGCTATCTTCAAAACCAACATGGACTTGATGTAGGACTCCTGAAACTTCTACTCAAGCATGAAACTCTGTGGTCAAGTTGCATCCAGAATCTCATATGGTAGATAACAAAAAAACCTTTCAGCGTCTTTCATCTCCTTGAAAACAACTCTCACCTACATGGAAGGATCATGAACGTTGCTGGACATAGCAATCCCATAGCAGTAGCCTCAGCATATTGAAGATAATTCCATTCTGAACTCAGACAATTTATGTTCTCCCCTTTATTAAAGGAGAAGCTGATCAAGTTAGAGGCAGAGGTGAGAACAGGATCCAAGTCTTTATTTGATTTAATTCTCAAGCTTATCTTGGGAATTACTTTATAGCTAATTAAAGATCCCAAGAGTGAGATCAGGGTAGGATGGCTAAAGGGACATTGAGGAACAGAAGAGATCGTATCAAAAAGTCTTCCTGAAGTCATCAGTTCTCCCCTTATGTGGATTCTCTGGGGAATACATGGATGGAGGATGTGGCAGGAGCTTTTCTCTCACATGGACCTCCCGATGTTTGGTCAGAACAGAGCCCTTACTGAAATGTTTGCCACAGTGGGCACACTCATAGGGCTTTTCTCCAGTGTGCATTCTCTGATGTTCTCGAAATCGTGTACAGTTATTGAAACTCTTTTCACAATCCAAGCATTTGTAGGGATTCTCTCCAGTGTGGACCCTGCGGTGGGCACTGAAATGAGAACTGTTGGTGAAGCTTTTCCCACACTCTTCACACTGATAGGGTTTCTCGCCTGTGTGAGTTCTCTGATGTATGATGAGACTTGAGCTCTGACTAAAGCACTTCCCACACTCTCCACAGCTGTAGGGCTTCTCTCCTGTGTGGATTCTCTGATGGGCACCAAAGTTTGAGGAGTCATTAAAGCTTTTCCCACAGTCAAGACATTTAAAAGGTTTTTCTCCTGTGTGGATTCTTTGGTGTCTGATGAGGCTCCTGCTTCTACCAAAGCACTTCCCACAGACACTACACTTATAAGAGTTTTCCTTCTGGTGGGTCATCCGGCACAGAAGACGAGCACTCCTTCCAAAGCTTTCTCCATACTTTAGAAGTCTGTAGGGTCTCTTCCCCATGAAAGGCCTCTGATGCACTACAGCTTTCCCTAAATCTCTAGGCTGAGACACTGGCTTTCCCTGTCTGATTCCTTGATGGTTTTCCCATTGTGTTCCTGAGATACATTCTTTTATACAATATTTACCTGGATCAGTATTCTGGGAGATAATTCTTTTAGACTTTTTGTGTTGCTCCATGTCCTTGTATATTACCTGTGTTGCATCCTCCTTGATATTACCTCCAATTTCAAAATCTGAAAAAAAGACAATAAAAATTTTAGAGCAGTCCTATATTAACATAAACATGGCCTTCAAGGCTTTATCTGTTAGGATTCCATGTACACTTCACTGGCTTCAGGTCCTTTTACTCTTCCCTGATTCATTATGCCTTATTTTCATTCAGTTCCAAGAACATCCAATAATACCTAGTTCAAAGAAGGCCTTCAGAAATGTCTTCTGAATTGAATTGCTCCTCATCTATGTCCTAATTAACATGGGAGCAACTTGTCTTATCTCCCGGAAGTTCCTCTTTAATTCATCCGGCTTTCAAAGTATCACTTCTATCCTAAAATACAGTATATTACACTAGTGTATAGAGTAGATTGTAGTGATCAAGTCCAAATTTCTCAATGGACTTTTAAGTTTATCAATATTTAATCATATCCTACCCAAGAGTATATCTTTTTTCTCCTTGAATGTTCCTGCCACTGTTTTTCTGGCTGTCTCACACAGACCACACTAATTCAACCTTAGTTTTTCACTGTTCCCAAACTAGAATGATCTTCTCCTTACTCTTTCAGTTACAAGGTACATCTTGGATCACAGCTTTTTCTAGAAGTTCTCTTGATAGAGAGCATAAAATGGTGAAGAGACACAGGCTTTGGAATCAGACAGCTCTGGTTCTGATTCTGTCCTGGTCACTTAATTATGTGGTTTTACTTAACTTTTTACTATGAAAAATTCAAACATACAGAAAGGAAGAGAATTGTACATACAATCAGCTTTAACAAGGATCTCTCATTGCCAATTTTGTTTCATCTCTATTCCTATATGCTCCCTGTCCCCTCTACCCAGATTATTTTGAAACAAACTTCAGACACTGTATTATTTCATTCATAAATATTTCACAAGCTGTGTAACTTAGGCCCAATTCAGGCTTGGTTGATTATCAAACCTTTGTTCATAAGCATTTTGCTATACTGCCTTGTTTCTACTTGCCAGTTTTAACATTACTTCACTTCCACATATTGAGTTGAAACTGCTGGAATCCCTCCATCCCAAGCGGGACAGCTGTGGCATGAGCTGTGGGGAGGAGGCAGCCATCAATCATTCCATTAATTCAAGTAAAAAGCCCTCGCAATGCCACTGTTCAATTAGCGGTTCTTTTGAAGCATTCTGAGTGGGTCGAATGCTGCTTTGGAATCTGGAGGAAGTCATAGCCTAGTAGTAGTTGGTTCAAACAGAGACTGATAATTTGATGACAGATCTGGAGTTCAACTTAAAAGACAAGATTCACAAGAGATGGTATGGTACCACAGGACTTTGTTTCCAGAGTTATTAACCAGGGTAGGACTTAACAATTTCAGCCTTCATACTACAATTTCCAACATAATACTACCAGAGAGCATGTGTATGAATTTCCTCCTTCTCTAATGTTTACTTTGAATTAACACAGAGTTTTGGAATGGAAATAATTACAGGTAAGGACAGAAAGATAAGAGCCCAGATTAAGGATGGCTGGTGGAACATTAATACAAGGCCAGTAGAGAAAACTGGTCTGGAGACATTTACAGCAGTCTAACCAACAGACACAAAGGCTGAACTAGGGTATGGGCTACAGGAACTAAAGAGGGGACAGATAGAAGTTCTACAACAGTTAAAAAAAAGTGTTACTGCCTGGATGTAAATAATGAGAGAGAAGGCATAAAAAATATCTCTGAAGTTTTAAGTGTGGAGGACCTATAGGAAGACATAGGGAAGAGCCATGGGGTAGGAAGGATGGTGATTTTAATTTTGAAAATTTAAGTCTGATGAGATGCTCACAAGGGTTTCCAATAGTTGGTGGGAAATACCCAGGTGGAGCTGAGAACCAGGATAAAGCCTCTCTCATTTGGTCTCTGCCTGTCCTTTTTCTCATGCATATCACACATCACCGAGACGTTTCTGTTCTGGGCTTACTGACACCCTCCTTCACCCAAGTTTTTCTCATGTACAATTCCAAATTTTCTCCCCCACAAAATTTTTAGGAGATATAAAACATTGCTTGATCCATACAGAAAAAACAGGCTGAAATCCCCAAAACTGAATCACTAGAATGTAAGCTCCTTCCTTGAATAGAAGCACCATGAACATACAAACTTTGTTTTACTTTGCTATATCCCCTGTCCCTCAAACTGCACAGAACACTCAAATATTTAATGAATAAATACTCCCAAATGACATACCAGATCTACTAATTTTTCAGTAAATCACACTCTCTTTTAGACTACAGCCCCTCGATGATCCTTACCATTTGGGTTTCGCAGTAGACCTGGAGGTTCCTGGAATTCTGACTCTTGTTCAATTTCTTCCTCACTCATTCTTTCGCTGCCAGAATCTTCTACTATTTCCTCTTGTGAGGTCTCCTCAAGTTCCCAGCCTGTAGGTTCCTGGGGTTCAATCTCAATATCCTCTCTTTCTTGCCTTGAAAGTGGTGGGACTTCTTCTGGGGTGCCGATGGAGGGGACAGATGCCCGAGAGTTTATCAGGGCATCCATTTCCTTGTAGAAAGCACAGGATTCTAGCACGTGACCATTTTTCACTTTGCGGTAGCTCTTCTGAAGGCTTTTGAACTTGGTCCTGCACTGTTCTGGTGTCCGGAGGAAACCACACTCCTGCAGCTGTTCCGCCACGACCCCATACAATTTGCTCTTCCTATGGCAGGACTGAAGAGCTTCATAAAACCGAGTCTCACAGAGGATATCAAGAAAAGTCTTGGTCTCCTCATAGCCCCAGTGTACACCTGCCATTCAAGGATAAAGTTCAAAGATATAAGAAAAGGCGTTTGTAGCTTCTATACAAAATTACAAAATATAAGAAGTAAAAGAAAACAAATCTCAAATCTCATTCACAGTAGCAACAGGAACTATGATATGCCTGGTATAAGCTTTGCCAAAAATGAGATCTATATAAAAAAATCTATAATAATTTAAGACATAAAAGAACTAGAAAAAAATGAAGAGATAGGAAGAATCAAGTTGTACTGATATCAATTCTCAGATGAATCTATAAAGTAAAAATTCCAATAGGATTTTTAACTGAGATCAATAAACTAATCTCAGTTTACTTGGTAGAGTGAAAATGCAGTCCCCCAACCTAACACTCCTCTGGTGATTAAGGATTTAGCTGTCTTTTCAAGTTAAGAATAATGGTCTGGGACACCCAGTAGGAAGTTTCCCCCAAAGTTCCTATCACTTTTTTAACCAGTCTCCTTTGAAGAGCAGAACTATGTTCATTAGAGTAGTTTTTGAGGTCACCGAGTCCTCTAGTTTGAGAGATGAAATGTTCTGTAAGACAAGCAGATGTCCGGCTTTTATAGCAGAACAAAATTTTCTAGGACATGTTGGAATACAGTTTGTACACTCTACTTTTTGTGTTTTGTAAGCAGGAAAAAGTCATTTCTATCCTTACCTTACCTTCCTGTATTTGAGACCACTCTATGTCAGTGGATTTCCAGATTGGTGAATACCTGTGCATGCGTAGCGTATCTTCCAATCTTTTTCCTGAGAGCTATTTCTTTTGAACAGGTACAGTCATGCATACAGTCCCAGCGCTCCTGCCTGATTTATTTTTCTGTTCTGAGAACTTACCTTTTCATAAGGTAGAGAAACATTACTAGTAACAATGATACCAGGCAATGTTTTATTGCATGTTAACATTTGCAGAATGCCTCCATGCATGTCATCTCACTTAACTAACAACACTGGCATTCTCAGTCATACTTGACAGATGAGAAAACTGAAGCTCAAAGTACTCACATGATGTGTCTACTGTCACAATTATTAACTGGCAGTTAAGTCCTGCATGTTCCAGCACCCAAACTACACCAGTTTTATTTTGTATGGTGCATGGTATAGCTTCTTCTGTCCTTTTAATTTCAATGTCTCTGTGTTATTATATTTAAAACGTATCTCTTGTAAGCAACATATAGTTGTTTTTTTGTTTGCAATTGAAGATATATTTGGGTTTACATCTACCCCTTTCTCTCCTTTCTTCTTTTAGAATTTCATTTTTTACTCATTTTTTTAGTTACTCTCTCTTTCACTGGTTATTCTAGATAGTATCACTACAATCTCACACACTTGACTGCTTTATACCAAGTCTCAGATAATGTTAGATCCTTAGAGCCCTCTGACTCCATTTCTCTTCCTTCCATAGGTCCCAAGTACTCAAAATCCATGCTGTGCTCCAACCTCAAAAAGAACCCTCCATGGCCACTCAGTGCTATACTAAAACTGCACTGGGGGCAGCAACAGACACCTGAGAACACTATTAGTTATGCGACCAGTCACAGTGATCGAGGCAAAGTGTGCATGACAGCACTCCTCAGGCCTGGTCACTTCTGGACTATTCTTTTCCCCACAAGACCATAGTCATCCATTTTCAAACCAAACAAAAGCAAAATACTTACCACTCAGGTTCTGAAACAAGACAGGGGTACCACGCATCTCAGACTTCCGGATAAACTCGATGCCCGTTTCCTCACTATCAGATTCTTGTGCAGCTTCCTCCTCCTCCATCAGACTTATCTGTTCTTTAGCACCGACACCAATTCTCTTTAGTCGAGGGAGAGACACAATCTCTTTTGGCTTGTCAGTGGGTGACACATGAGCTGCAGGGTTCAACAATGCGTCCATGTCCTCAAAGAAGGCACAGGGCTCGAGCAGGTGGCCGTTTCTCACTTTTCGGTAGCTTTTCTGGAGACTTTTGAACTTGGTCCGACACTGTTCCGGAGTTCGGAGAAAGCCACACTCTCGCAGCCATTCAGCTACAGCGCCATACACCTGGCTGTTTCTGGGACAAGCCTGAAGTGTTTCATAAAAGCGAGATTCTTTGAGAATTGCGAGAAATGTCTTCGTTTCCTCATAGCTCCAATGCACACCTGCTATCTTTTCATCTTCTAAGCCCCACTGTTGTCGCTCTCTCCGCATCTTCCCTGCATTCCTTGCAGGAATCTGAACAGCATGAACTGACTTTTCCTTGATGCAGTTGCTTCGTAGACTATTCCTTTTATTAGAGTAATGCATCCATAGCTCCTTTCTTTGCTCCACCTGGGCTGTCTTGTTAGAAGTAGATACTGCACTTCCTATAGTGAGAGAAACATACTTCATACTAGACGTAGAGATCATTCATTACTGCTGCCCACCTTCTGCTGCAGCATGCTCTCCTGGACCACTGTCCTTCAAAGATCCTGTCCAATCACCTTTCTTCTAGGGTCCTCCTCCACCATGACAGTGCACACTATAGTTACTGGTACATGAGTTCTCCGGCACAATCATCTACTAACTCACACTATCATTTTACTTCCCATGTATGTACCACTTATTTCCCAGCTGGTTCTTAAAGGAAGACCTTTAAGGGTAAGAAACGTATTTTATTACCTCATGGTATCTAATGCTGTGCTAGGTTCAGAGTATGCTCCTGACCAGTATTTGTCACTTATAAAATAAAGTGTGCTTAAATCTGCTTCCCACATCTCCCCACCCCAACAACACACACACACACACACACACACACACACACACACACACACACACACTCACACACTGGGCTATGAGAAACGGGAAGTAAGGATTCCTGGACACATGTGGCAAGCTAAATAGGAAAGTGATGTAAGGATCGGGAAGCAAACTGAAAATATGTTACTGTACAATACTGTAGAGAGCAACTTGTCTTAAATGTGCGTCCGAGCTCCACCACTGACTTTATTTTTTTGATCAGGGAAGTTTCTTAATTTCTCTGAACCTCAGTTTCCTAGGGAATAGCATCATCTATTCAAAGAAGTGCTGGGAATATTAAGTGAATGATCACCTCTGAAGTGTCCAATGCCCACTACGTTTGTAAGAAAACTTAGTTTTCTTTTCTAGGTAACACACAGAGTGGCTTCAGGGAATTCTTCTACAGAAACAGCATCAAATCAAACCTTCTGAAAGAACCTGGAGATGGAAGTTTGCTCTTTATTTTTAAACGAGAGAAGTAAGTGTAGGGACAACATGAGCTCAACATCTATAAGGACTAGTCTGGCAACGTAACAGCATGAGGTGGCAGTTCAGCACGAGCTCTCTTATTCTGTGGTTCCATGGTGCTTGGCATTTGCTATTTCAAGAGATACTGGAAATCCAGATTTACAAACTAAATTTAAAGTTAAAATGCTGTGCAAGGCCAAAATATGTGTATAGGCTAGATAATGAGCCATTAGTTTATAATCTATGATAAAAAATTAGGGCAGGGGTCTCTGGGCCTGGGTCTTTATACTCTATAATTATATGTGAAGGTGCTGGGCTAAATCTATACTAAAGTATGGTCCTTATCCCACTCCTGCAGAGTTTACAAGGACTAATTGAGCATTTACTAGGTCTGGATGCTGTGTGATCCAAGACAACGTTAGGAAACATCCATCGTGTACACAACTAGGTGGAGGGCTGGGATGCCCACTGTTTTGGGAAGAGTGCTTTGTTACTGATGTGTCATCAGTTGGTCTTTTAAAAAAAATTGCTTTCTATATAAACAACTGTTGGTTTATCTTATTCATTCAGTTTGACATGCTCCATTTTATAATCTCTATACTTTAGTGTTGCGTTTTATGTATACTTTTATGTAGCTTTGTCCAATGGAACTTTGTTATGATGGAAATGTTCTATAACTGTGTTGTCCAATACAGTACTGAATTCCTTAAATGTGGCCACTGCCACTGAGGAACTGAATTTTTAACTTAGTATCTAATTTTATAAATTTAAATAGCCATATGTGACTAGTGGCTACCGTATGAGATAGCACAAAGCATCTCTAGTGTATATTAGTGCATGTTTTAGGCGTATAATTTTAGTTATATGTAGTCTTTGACTTGTAGTTTGCATATGAATGAAGTCCTACTGCTAAAGCAGAGTTTGCTTGTAAAGTGACACTTCAGTGGTGATATGTGCCTGTAAATTTATGCTATTTAAATAATTCACAACACACTATTGAGGTTATTCTATTAAAATTACTTTTTTTCTATTTATAAGATTTCCATCCACATAACAAATATTTGCTGGGCACCCACCCATGTGTGTCAGGCCCTGTGAAAATTGTTGTGTTTACTATAGTAAAACAAAAACAAATCCCTAAGAGACCTCATGAATGGAGTCTTTAAAAGATGTAAGTTTACATTGAGATAATATAAATATGACAGTCACATATAACACCTCTCCAATGTTTTAGTCACTAAATTATAAGCATATAAATTTTAAACAGGAACAAAGGAATGAGTGAGGTAAGAGAAGATGGATATGTGGTTACTAGGTCTAATAAGCTAGATTGCAAAAATGATTCGACAACTCATGAAAATCTTTGAAGTGTTAACATTTATAACTACTTTATCATCAGTAGAATGCATATGTTATAAATCCCCAAATCTTTTATCCATAAAGGGAAAGAATCCTTACCTAAGGAGACCATGTTCCCAACACTCTCCTCCCTAATATCCCGGTAGAGGTCTCCGTGAGCCGGAATCTGATGCACTCTCTTTTTGTATGAAAAACCTCTTGTCAAGTGGACATCTTTCACTGGTCCCTGTAACAACACTAACAGCAATGACTACCAAGATAACCATGTGGGTCTTTGAAGGATGAACAATATTGAATAAAGCACAGAAGGGCCTTAAGGAAGAATTAAAATCAAGGAACCAAGTGTACATTAGGGCCAAATGAAACAGAAGATACTATAAAGAATCATAAGACAGATGATCCACCAATGTGTCCCCTATTACTCAGAAAAAATGTCCAATCTTTTTTGAAAAAGGAACAAGGGGGGAAAGGTCTCTTGGTTGGAGTATAAAAATTTGAGGACAGTGAAGGCCCAGGAAATCATTGTGACTGAATACCCTAGAAAGGAAGTCCAGGGAGGACAATACAATTTACCTGAGACCCAACAGGAAGTTTCGTGGTTGTTACTTCCTGATCTATGGTGTTCCATTCTTCATCAGGGATGGGAACCCAGGGAGAAGGGTGAGCTGTAACAGAAAGAATCAATTACTGTGTGGGCTCTGGCCCTTTAATTCATGCTGCTTCTCCTCTTAAGAAATGAGCATGTTACAAAAAAGCAACAAATACAAACTGATCATTTTCTCCATGAATTCAGAACTATGCCTGAAACCATGGTAACTTAAAGCAGGACTCACAAATGCCAATGCTTTTAGGGAGTAAGCTGATACAGCCCATCAGGAAAGGGGCCAGGCAAGGCGTGCGGGGAATGAGAGAGCACATGTCCCATTGAAAGGGTACAGCAATGCTCAGTCCCAGATGATGCTTCTTTGTGAGACTATGGACCCAGTATAGCCAAGCTTCTATTTTTTTCAAGAGAAGTCAGAAATCTGGACTTTTGTGCAAAATATCAAAAGTCTTAATCTTGAGAACTAAAACCAACCAACCAAACAAAACCCCCAAACCAAAAACACTTTTGTAGGTGAAACAAAACAAGTCTGACTTGGCATGTGCATGACCTGTTTGCAACCTCTAGTATCAGTTAATCCCCATAAGTAGCTAAAGAAGTTACATGGTCCTGGACACTACAGGCAATACACCCCTTGAAAGATGGAATGAAGATATACAAACTTATAATCAGCAAGTCTGTAGTCTAACTTCTACTTATGAACTGACTATCCAGGGAAAACTTCCAGAATAAATATTTCTGTGATCAAGAATTCAAAAGCTTGTTACACTACTTTTCTATAGAAGCAAATCAAATTACTTCCTTGGAAACTTATTATTCCCTTAGACACACACATGGCTGAAATCACAGGTCTTCTTTTAGAATTCACCTGAGATATTTATCCCTCAAATTTTCTATCCTGCACACTCCTAAGTACTTCAACAGACCAAACTTTCCACTTTAGGAATTCCTTATCATTCTGGGATGTCAAAATCCAGAAACACCATGAATTTACTGTACTAAGCTTATCAGCTAAAGTTAACTGGGAGTATTTAATCCACATGATAAGGGAACACACACATACACACATACTAGAAACTTCAGAAACCATTAACATTTGCAATGCATTCTCTATCATAATATGAATTTTGGGAGGGATAAGGAAGTACAGCATACAGTACTGGGTCTTGTCTTTTGGTGAGGAGCTGTGTAAGTCAGATTTAAAGTTTAACAACAATCATGCCATTATGGGAGAAGGGAAGCTAACATTAACTGAGCGCTAGTATGTACTGGCTTTCTGACACTGCCTCATTTAATCTATACCAACCTTATTATTCCTTTTACAAATGACAGAATGGAAGTTTGAGAAGTTACCTGACAAAGGCCACAGGTAAAGAATGGCAGAGTTGGGTTCTGAACCCAGGTTGTCTGTCACTTCTATCTATTAATCTCCTGTTAATATGACTTGCCCAAGATCAGGGAGGGAGGGGCAGAGAGGATGTAAGCCTATCTTTTTACAGGAGGTTCAGTGATCTTTCCGTTCTTCTCTTTCAGTCTGACACCACATTGCCAGGGATGGAGAGATCACTGTGGACTGCAAAGGACAGGATGCTCATTTCCTCGTGTCTGACTTGATTTGTGAATGTCTGGGGCAGCTATGAACATCAGTGGCCCCTTCTCTATGAAGTCTTATGTTTATCCTTCTCATATGCCAATTACATAGTGCCTAACTTATAAGTCAATTTTTGAAAATAAATGTCTTATTTTCCTTTCCAAACAGTTTTCAAGTTCCTTGTAGTCAGCCAAGAACACATCCACATATACACATGGCAGGACTAAAAACCACAAGCTGATTACAGAATGGAGATCCTTAAGTAACACTGCAAGACTTCAAGGCCAGCTTGGGCAGTCTAAGTTTTCCTAGGTTCAATCTTTAAGATCCCTTTTACTTATGCTGCACATATTCCCAACTATTGAAGTCTTTCTCCCCAATATTCAATTTATTCTCAAATATGTATTGAGAGGACAGTACTCTGAGCAAGTCACAGGTTAAGACTACAAAACAAAGCTGCCATGGTCTGCCCTTGGCATCTCTGAGCTCTTACCGTTCTTGGGTAAGGGCCGCTGCTCTCTCTTTGGGGTCAGCTGCTCCTGGTGTCCCGAGTGCAGGCTCCCAGCTTCTTCCCGAGACACCACTCTGAGCTGGGTCTCTGGCGGAAAGGCTGCCACATCCCACACTGCTCCACGTGGGGCTTGTTCCTCCGACTGCACAGGGCTGCGAACCTGGGAAACAAAGCCAAAGCCACAGTGAAAAAAGGGAGAAAAAGATAGCAAAGAAGGCTAGACGACGTGAGAAGGAATGACCCTACGGTCCCTTCCCAGTGTGGGCTCTAAGGTCAGTGGGTTAATAGAACTGTCCAGAAGTCTGGACATGAGGGAATGGAGAATGCTCTTTAGTAATACATAGAGGGGAGATCTGTCAGGTGTGAAGTACACGCCTTCCTGTTATTAAAACAGAGATCATTTGAGTCCTCACATCTACTAGGCTCACAGAGAATTGAGTTATCAGAACACAAATTCACTGGTGAAATGAAAACATACTAGTAAGCTTAATCTCCACATCTCATGTCTATCCTTGATGGACACAGAAACACGCTGGCAGTCAGACCTTTACACAAATGCAAATCCCGTGCAAGGCGAAACTGCAAATCTTGCAGGATTTCATGAGGTTAATGGAAGGGCTGCTGAAAAACAACCAGAGGATCATGCAAAGCCACCGACAAATGCAGATCTGGCAGGAAGACTGGAGAAGAGTGACGGGGTGATGGCATTAAGGTGGCCTAAGAAGACAGGGACTGGCACAGTGAAGGATTAGAAAGGGCCCAGGGATCACGGCAGGTCCCCCCCCCCCCCCCCCCCGATAGTCCTCTTCAGGATCAAGCTGAAAAAGTTAAACCCTGTGAAGCATAAATTCTCACATAGAATTTTTTTTGGGAAACATTACTGCCAAAGACTTGAAACAAAATATTTAGGTGAATATGGTTTAGTTTCATTTGCAAGATCCTATTTCAAGCAAAACTTTCTGTTCTACTTGCTATTCAAGTGGCTTCACTTTTTTAGGTCCTTCATTAGTACCACTATCCTATCTAAAAAAGACAAAAAGGGTAATTGACCGTACCTTCGCTATGCTTCCCATTGGCTAATCAGCGAGATATGCAAATTAACCACCAACAAAGATGGCGGCTGGCAGCCACACAGCTGAAGCGAGCAGGAGGCTTGCTTGCTCCAGTGATGGAGGAAGCCAAGGTTCCTCGCCTGCCGCAGCCTGGCTCTGAGCTCCGAAAGCAACAAAGTTTCAATTATAGAAGCTAAACAAACCCCAGATACCTGCTTTCAGCAGGCCATGGCCTCAGAGCTGCAGCAAGCAGGAGCCAGCTCTCAGCTCCAGTGACAGCAACGAAGTTTCAATTATAGAAGGTAAATAAATCCCATAAACAAAAGAAGAAAAAAGGAGAGGCTGGGAGCTTCAGTCGCCGGCCAGCCTGAAAACAGCCCTCAGCCCCCAGGCTGGCCAGGCACCCCAGCAGGGACCCCCACCCTAAAGGGGGTGTGGTCAGCCTGAAAAAAGCCATCCGCCCCTCAT